TGTTTACAGTAGAGGACAAACCACTTCCATGGAGAAACGCTGAACTCACGCTGATGTGATTCAAATTACTATTAAATTTAGCAGCCATACTTCCCTCCGGAGGTTAATTTATATTCCTTCTTTTTTTTTTTTTTTTAACTAAAATCCTTAAATAATGTGCAATAACCCACCAGAACCATGATTTAGCTACATCACTAAACCAAATTTACTGTTATGATATAAAAAGGACACCTTCCCTACACATAAGTGATAACCAGCACTGCTTCTGTAACTCCTCTTTGGCATCACCTCATTGTACAAAACTAAAATAAGATGCAGTTTCAGGATTAACTGCCAAAGGGCATTCTGTAACTTACACATTTCCTCATGAGTACAGGAACTTCCAGTGCTGAAAAGGTCAATAGTTGAACTAACATGGAATATGACTGAACAAATAATCTATGCCTAACAATTACACAAAACCAAATGAATCTTCTAAGACATTCTTATTTCATAGCATAATTAGGTAATTTTTCTGTACTCAAGCTGCTCTGCTAACATCAACTCTGCACCTTGAAAATTAATATATATTCATTACATATATAAAACTATATACATACATAATATCTATAATGTTATATTCTATATAGTTTATATATAATATTTTATTATATATATAATCTATTTTAAAATACTTGCCTTTGTGTTGCTTCCAAAGGTGTATATCTTTTCAAATACAAGAGGAAGCACAATGAAATAATAAGATGGAAAATCCAATTTTTTTTTTTTAAATCTATGGAGGTAATTCTGAAAATGGATAAACCAAGATAAACAATGTCCCATGTGTAGGGATGTTTTCTGGCGAGGGAAAATGGAAGTTAGAAATGCAAAAACCCCATAAATCCAACATAAATAAGTCATTATAAAAATAACAAAGCAAAGAAAGCTGTATGACAATAAACATAAAAGAAAATAAATATTAAGGATAGGACACTGAATGGAAAATTAATTTTGTGGATGTCAGTCTTTACTACAGAAAAGGAATAACAGTCTTAGAACTGTTCTCAACAGATTAAAGAAATGAGAATAAAGTACTTCCGTCAAAAGGAAGAAAAGACTGCATTACCATCAGAATCAGAATGGTACTTACATACAAATTCTAGCAGAGTTTTTATCATCTATTCAGCATACCACCCTTAAACAACAATAAAACCCTTTACAACTAGAACTTGTGTACAGGACAGGACTCAGATTTAGACCTTTTCAACACAAAAGCATGCTGCAACGTGATCCGGGCCAGCAAGCCATAATTTCTGTATCAGGTAAAACAGAACACCTTGACAAATCCAGCATAATAAGGGCACGTCAGTACAACTCCTGAACCTGAACTGCTATTATCCACTGTTTGTTTTTCCTTGTTACTATAAGAGTTACTGGATTTTCAACAACATTCTAGCAAAGTTCTTTGCAACAGACTTTTGAGGAAACAATTGAGGAAACTATGATGGAACGAGGTAAGAAACACATTTTAGATATGTGCAAGAACAGATACAAACAATAGACTATGCAGAAGAGCTGCCTAGAATTGGGTATCACACTGTGCAGCATAGGTAAGTGCAAGGCACAGGAGGATTTATCCAGCTGGAGTTATGCAGGTGCACCATGTAAATAATGCTGAAGAACAATCCCAGGGCACAACACCCTAAATCACCCAATATTCATTTGCAAAAGCTACTTAAGCTCTAAAGAGATTATGCGTCACTGAAAAATTTGTACAAGTTAGGAGCCCAAGTCTCTTGCAAACATGAGAAAGATGACACTTTTAGACCCAGAAGCAGTAAAATTCTAAACAGTCACTAAATGAGCAGCAGGATTCAAACTAGGAAACAAGACGTGCAGCCCAAAGAAAGAAACAGAAAGCGCTGCTGAAGCATTCAGGGGAGATAATGGTAGAAACGGAAAAAAGAATAATGCAGAAGGGAACAAGGAAAGTAAGCAAACACAGTTTCCCAACTGTGCAAATTAAGATCTTCATGAATGTGTCTATTCCCTAACACCTGGATGTTAAGACAGCCTGTGATAGGTTTATGTAAAGTTAAACGCTAAAGCACATTAAAAGAATGCCAAAGCTCCAAAATCAAGGACTCTGATAGAAAACATCAGAATTGAGTACTTCATTTGGCCCTGCTAGACCTTGCGAGCCTGCAGAGACTTTTTAACAAAGTAAGCTTCTTTAAAAAACTGCAGTGCAAGAAGCTGCATTCAGGGTGATCCTATCAACTCACCAGCAGAGTTTAGACCTCCAGATCCACAAATGACCTACCACCGTTTTGGAATGCAGTAACGGTTGATGCTAGGACATTACTTCCTGTGTGTTGGAAGTGACAGTAGATAAAAGACAGAAGACGACCGAGAAATACGCTGCAGCTCCCAAATTTGTGGACTTCCTGCTCTCAGCAAAACAGAAAAACATACTCTAACAGACAGTTATGACTCCAAATTTAATTTAAAAGTACTACAGGGGCGTACGTTATGGCAATTGCAGTTATCTCTACCCCTGTGCACTCAGCGTCTTTTTACATGCACCACTTCTGCTCCACTCCACTTCAAGCTCCTGCCTCTCCGCATTTATTTTCTTCCCACATGAGACTGCAAAGCCCGAACTCCTCCCAGCCCTATTCTCTGTCACATTCTGGGTCTCCCTCTCCCCGTGTGTTGCCATTCTCAGTCCTAAGACCCTTCATCACCAATTGCCTGGTTTAAGAGTCCTGCTGTTCCCCAAGATTTCTACCCTCTTTTCCACCCCACTTCTCACTCCCCTAAAACCGAACTACCAGTCAAATTATTTCACTTCCATTCTGTACTGATACAGAAACAGGTATAAGAACGGCACATTTTTCTGTCTATGTTGGGTGTCTGCACATGGCTCTTTTTGCCCACTCTTCCCTATCTACCCTTTGAGGATGATGTCATCTGTTCACACCATCTTAACTAGCATCTGCACAGCAATGGCTTGTAAGCATGTCTATCCATCCTCCTACTCCTGATTGCCTCCATATGGTACTGCTGCTTCTCCTGATTTTCTCTCCAGAAAACTTAAGCTTGATATGTTCACAGCTCAACTCCTTATCATTCCTCTCAAACACTTTTTGCAGATAAAATTTTATCGCCTCCTGTAATACAGGAAGCCTTTCGTGACCCTTTTGCCTGCGTTTGAACCACATATCCACACTATATCCAAAATCCCGTTACAACCTTCCTCCGTGTGTACATCTTTTTCTTTCTAACAGTACAGCTCATCCAATATGTCCATCCTTGTTCAGGCACACACTGAAGAATTGGAAAGGGAGATGGAGATTCATCTGTTTAAATTTAGACAGGCTTCCCTACTTATCCTAAGTCATACTGAAAGTGAAGCAAGTAAATCTCTTTAATATATTAGTATTTATGCTTTCATTTCAGGAATCCTCTTTATCACGTCACCCTTAAGAGCTATGCGGGTATCACTGGTTCAAGCTCTTGGGAGGCAGACGACAAAGAGGCAGCTCAAAGAGCTCAATCAGTTGCTACTCAGTCAGCCGGTACCTACCCATCTTGGTTCAAAGTTTCTGCAATCTTTATTTAGGTATTTCCAGAAGGTAAAAGAGTACAGAATAGGAAGCATGCTAGACGGATACGTAGCCATTTTAAAAAATAAATAAAGTATGTTGTTACCTAAAGATAAACAATATATTGGATGGCTGGCTGAGAGAAAAAGAGAATAAAACGCAGACATCAGAGTTACACAACTGCATTTTATAATTGCATTAATAAATTAAAAACAGAGGACCCCATCAAAATTTGACCAAAACTGTGATCTTAATACACTTGCTTATGTAAGAACCATGCTTTAACATTTAGTACTTTATCAAACTTTAAAAAAAATAAATAAAAAAAAAATCTTTAAATCGGGAAAAAAAACCTAGAAAAAGTCCCAAACTCTGTACTTATTTGAGATGAAAACTGCCAGCAGAACATTTTATATTCAGATCCTTAAATTACTTGCTTCAGCAAACCAATTTTTGAAAAAATATTATTTCAGGTTGTATACTGAATTTATTTCCAGATTTATTTTAACATTAGCACTAATTAAAACAGCTATTGCGCTACACTTCTCTTACTCCTCAGTATGTGGTTGTGAGCAGTGTTTATACTGATAGAACAGCTTCAGAAATAAGTTACAAAACAAAAAAGTGAAAATGAAGACACCCCTACCCCCTGCAAAGTGAAGGTCAAGAACATCAAGCAAGACATCCTTACAAAGACCTGTGAAATCTCTAGCAAATTCACATGGTACATACAAGTGGTTTTTTTAGAACAAAATTAACAACAAAATTAACAACCAACATTACTATACATATATTGTACGTGGTGATGGATCATAAAAATAATTGCTTTCTGATTCATGAATTAAACTGAATTATGAACCCATTTTAAGGGTCTGAATAATCTGTGAATCCTAATAAAAAATTTCCTAAAATAAATGCGGGTACCAACTTGTCCTGAATATAATTTATTCAAGACAAGACCTTAATGTTCACTTGCATATAAACATTATCAGGTGAAATTCGGCTCAAAGAGGCAGTTTTATTTCAGAGATGTTCTTAGGGAAAAAAAAAAAAAAAAAAAAAATCGCAAATGAAAAGTAGGCACATTCAAATATAGATTGTTGGAAGCTTTTTAAGTAATAAACGTTTAATCCCATTTTTTTTTTCAGTGTCATGTGGTTTCCAGTGTACACAAAGTAAAGAGTGAAAAGGTAAAAATAAAACTGGCATACCCTTAATATATTCCAGAATTCATAAATCATTTGTAATTTTAGTCCTTTTATAAAAGAATCCTTATATAAATCGGGGGGAGGGGGGCATCAATCCCATATATGAAGCACAATTTAAGCCCAACATCACTGACCAATCAAAATTAGTGAATGCACTGCATCTCTCTGCAGTGAGGAGAAGCGACAAGGTAGGCTGTCATTCTGCAAAAGCTGCCCATCGCAAGCTTTCCTCTCAGAAGCACTGCTTTTCTTTTTTAGAAAGCTCGAATCCCAGTGGTGTCTCTGGAGACAAGAAGCCTTCAGTATGTTAAATTACTTTCATTATGTATTTTCAGATGCTTATTGATTCTACAGTAGAAGAGCGGGAGACTGCAGCAGCCTGTAAACCAGAACTAAAGCGGTTGTATACATTAGCAGTATGCTGAAACAATGGCACACTACAGGCACAAATTTTCATTAAGGTCATTTTTGGAAGATATGCTTATTACCCTGTTTCCCTTCTACTCTGCTAACAAGTGAACAAAATGAATCCCTCCAACCTGGAACTGCTTCACCTGCATCGAGAATTTATCAAATCTGTAGTGGAGGTAAGATCTGTTCCTTATTATGGTATGCAGAATAAGCAACATTTAACAAAAAAAAAAAAAAACCTGGAGAAAAAAAGGGAAGATATCAGATTCAACTTACATTAAGTGCTAGTATCTTGTTATATTTGAGACCAGAAAATCTGCAAATGCTATTTCCCCTTCCCCATTAAAAACACAATGACAGAAAAATGTGATTTTGTATTAGAGTCTTGTAGAATATTAAGAACCTGTTTTGTTCATACAATATAAAGATGGTACAGTTTAGATCTAATACAGTTGGGGGGGGGGAACCCACAGAATGCAACTGGGAATATTTTTTTTCCTCCCTCAGCAGTATTTCAAAATATTGGCACTTAAATATGTTACAGATTTATTCAGTTACTGTTTGAAAGATCGGATAGTCTGTAACTGGTGTATACTTATTGCTTTATGAAGGTTGGCTAATACAATCTGATTGCTCAAGAAATCCTCCTTTTTGTTGTTGTCTTTTTTTAACTTATTTCTTTCATTACCCTGTACATTCAAGCTGTTTATTAAAAACACAGATTTGCTAAACATTTATTTCAAGAAAGGAAATTATAACTGTGCTAATTAAACAAAAACATATTTGCTATCAAGCTAATTGACTCTGCTCAATTTCACATCAGAGGAAAAGAGAGTTGTGTGTATAAACTACCTGCTCATAAGAGCTATAAAACTACATTTTCTAGCTCTAGTCACAGACACTACATCCAACAGTTACTGCTTCTAGTTAAGGTTTTTTGTAACTTGAGCTATTTGGAGAAAAGGAAACTTGTCCAAAAAACTAAATTTGTGTAAGTTGACAGAATGACATGATTTTACTTGCAAATAGTGAACACACCAACTGCTTTTCTATGTAATCTGTAAGACCCAATTTTAGAGATCTTTTATTCATAAAATAAGTGCTATTAGAAAATATATTCTTGCATTATTTTATTTTGAAATTATAAGCCCTACTTTTAACCTTTTTTTTCCTCCCCTTCACAAGGGCATGCAGCAACTAATTCAGTTTTACAACTGACAATATGAAGAATGCAGTTGACCGGGTATCTTTCTAGCTGTATGACCTACAAGCAGCAGGACGCATCACTAAAATGCATTCTTAAGACATAAAGGAATTAGAAACAAAACATGGAACACACTTGTATTACCATTTACGTGCACGACACTTCAACAATATACATGGAAGACTAACACATCTGCTCAGATTTTCATTAAAAGAAGAGTGCAATGATCGATTCTTAAAATGGTGAGCATTTCTTAAAGAGGGATTTATAATTTAAAACCAGAATTGTGGAAACTACTGATGCATGAAGAAACAATGAAACATGAATTCCCAAAAGGAGAATATGCATACTTCACCAGCAAGCTGAATAAGGGTTTAACCAAGCTTTTTCTATACTACTCATTAAATAACTTATTTGTCATAATGACTAATGGATATTTTGCTCTCGATTTTATGTTCTGTTATGTATTCTCCTTAAATGAAAATAAACCAAATTAGGTAACTCATGGTTACTCTCAAAGCACATGAACGGGATTTTATGATGTATAGCAACTTCTTTGACTAAGCCATCACTCAAAAGTAATGAGCAGGAATATTACAGAAAGAAATAACGCAACCTTAAACTAAAGGATGTCTACATATACTCTGAACACAGAGATAAGAATATTATCTTTTTTTAAACTTGGAAAATAAGAACAGGCTGCTACAAAATGCAACAGGGGAATGATATTAACATCACTTAAAAGAAGGTTTATTTGTTATTGCTGGCTTGAAACTCAAAACAGACACGCAGAATATGCACTGGTCTGTAGAAGTATCTCAGGCAATTAAGAAGCCCCCATGTTTAATCAGAATTTTTTGCCGCTGAAGTGCTGGAACCAAAAAAAGGAAAAAAAAAACCTGCAAGGAACGAAATAAGAGCCCAGCTACCACTTGGTTTCCAGGTTACAGTGCATGTCAAATATCTGTCAGTGACACCCTGTATCAATTTATGACAAGCTGCCGCAGCGATGTGAGAGGCCCTTGAGGCACAGAGAACAGGTAGGTCAGCAGTTGCATGCTCCCCTCCTCGGCTCAGCCTTTGCGAGGCAACGGGCACTCTCCAGAAAGGGTAAATTAGCTCCCTGCCTTGACATTTCTGCTTTTATTTAACTGAAATCTAATCAATGCAACAAGGAGGTGATGTTTAATCTATCATTAAGACTTAGCAAATCTGAAGTTGCTTGGTTTTAGTTTTGGCTTTTTTTCCCACAAAATTTCAGTTGGTGTAAGGTTAGAGTTAAAACCATCATTTGTTTTAGCAGATCTGCTTTTTATGTGCTCCTGGCTTTTGCTAATACGAAAGAACTCCATTTATCCAGTAATGCATTTGGAATGGTTTCTTGAAATCCATTCACAGCCAGGACAGTGTACACAGAGCAAATTGTAATCCTGAGGGTTAAAATAAACCTAGCAGACATTGCCCAAATTAGAAACTAAACAAAGCTTTTGAAATATTTCTTGTTTCATTTCACACCTGAGACTAATACGTTCTAATTTACATCTTTTGTATTTAAGAGGCACATGTGAAATAGCTGTTGAAGCATACCAAGAATTTTCATCATACAATTTGCAATTAATAATACTCTGCAATTGAGGCTTTTCAGAACTGCAGATGAAGTCCATTTGCATATTATGTCCCAAGTGTGTTTAATTCATACTTTCATTAAAAAAGAGCTCATTTTTGTTCACCTTAGTGCTATCCATTTTTAATGTATTCAGAATGGAACAAAGGTCTGCATTTAAATTTATTTTCATGCCAAGTACATCCCCTCTTAAATTTAAAGCTACCTAAAAAAAACAACCCTCAAGTATCATAACAAGAAATTGAATAACCTCTCTATTTATTCATTTCATTACAAACTCAAGAGCTGGCTGATAATATAAATAATACAGGCACCTGCATTACATGCAGATGCTACATTTACAACCTATCGGTATGTGTAAAACAAAACAGATAACCCACAAAATATAAAATCTCCTTGATGTAATACTTTTTTTTAACCTCGCTTATTCCTAAACAAACATGCTGTGTATATAAATCTGATGGATTTAATTGCAGTTTGTATTAAAAAACAAATAACAAAAAACAAAGGAAAAAAACCTGAAAGAGACAATTTTATTTTTAAGTATAATTTTCTAAAATTATTCCCTTAAATCTATTCTGGAATAAAATTAAATACTCTTCCATTCCATGTAGGCACTAATCTGTCAAAGAAACTGAATATTCAAATCAGAAAAAGGAAATGTAGTGTTTTTAAAAATAAACTCCATTCCTTCAAATCCACAAATGTTTTGTGTCTGAAATTATATATACTTATATTTAATTATTGTAATAGTAAGTTTCATACATGTAGATGCACAAAAGATAAAAGTAAACACAAGTCTGCAAGCTCTGTAAAAATCTGTTGAATTACAGACCTTCAAGTTTCAGCCCACAACACTATTGCAAACTCTTCCTAAGAAAGAGGCAGCTAAATTGCCATAAATAATTTAAATGTTCTTTTTATGATACATAAGCAACAGTGCTCCATGTTCCTATCACTTTCTTTATTCTACAAAAGCCTTTTTAAAATGATCTTGAGTACTAATTTGTTAATACTTAACAACATTCTTCTGAAATGACCCTCAACACAATACAAAGGCAATGCACAAGTATAGTTTATTCAACAAATGGGCCCTTTGTAAAAACCACATCACTATAAATAAAGCCTTGTCTCCCTAAGTGGAAGCTTTTCACTTTTTTTTTTTTTTTTTTTTTTTACAATTTACCAAGGCAACAATATTGACATTTTCCTAGGATATTAGCTTTGCTGGAAGATATCAAACTGATGACCTTCATTTCTGATCTTCTCTATATATTCACAGAATGGAGATAGCAGTCACTGTAGCTGTGCAGGATCCCTCACATGAACTGCCAGCTCCTTTATACCTTCCCACAGAAGTGGAGCTAGTCCTAAAGGGAATGTTTTTCCTTTTTTTTTTTTTTTTTTTTATTTAAACAAATCCTGCTTCCCTACAAAAAGGAAAGACCCCATTCTAGATCCTCAGGCTTTTGAGTCCATGCCAACTAAAGCTCTAAACATACAGTAAATCAAGAGTTTGATAAGAACAGAGGCTTTTCCTCCCTCTTCCTTCCCCAGCATTTATCTACAGTAACTGTTAAAAAAAGAAATCAAATAGTTCCATATTTTATTTCACCTTTCAGGAGAAAAAGCAACTGCAACAAAAGAATGTGTTTCTCCCCCATTCTGGAAGTCAACATGCAGTCTGAATCTAACATTACAGTTCGAGATGCCATTGATGACATCGACACCAACATGTACCGACCACTGTCATATCCATTAAGCTTTCAAGTTTCTCTCACTGGATTTTTGATGTTAGAAATTGTTTTGGGACTTGGCAGCAATCTCACTGTGCTGGTACTTTACTGTATGAAATCCAACTTAATCAATTCTGTCAGTAACATAATTACAATGAACCTTCATGTACTTGATGTAATAATTTGTGTGGGATGTATTCCTCTAACTATAGTTATCCTTCTGCTTTCACTGGAGAGTAACACTGCTCTCATCTGCTGCTTCCACGAGGCTTGTGTCTCTTTCGCAAGCGTTTCCACTGCAATCAACGTCTTTGCTATCACTCTGGACCGGTACGACATCTCCGTAAAACCTGCCAATCGAATCCTGACCATGGGAAGGGCTGTGATGTTAATGACATCGATATGGATCATTTCACTTTTTTCCTTCCTGATTCCTTTCATCGAAGTCAACTTTTTCAGCCTTCGAAGCGCAAGTACTTGGGAAAATAAGACACTTTTGTGCGTGAGTACAAACGAGTACCACACTGAGCTAGGAATGTACTACCACCTTCTCGTGCAGATTCCAATCTTTTTCTTCACTGTTATAGTAATGCTAATTACATACACCAAAATACTCCAGGCTCTAAATATTCGGATTGGTACAAGATTTACAACGGGACAAAAGAAAAAAGCTAGAAAGAAAAAGACCATTTCTTTGACCACTCAGCATGAGACTACAGATGTGTCCCACAGCAGTGCAGGAAAAAATGTTGTCTTTGGTGTAAGGACTTCTGTGTCTGTCATAATTGCTCTACGCCGAGCTGTAAAGCGGCACCGGGAGCGACGAGAACGGCAAAAGAGAGTCTTCAGAATGTCCCTCTTGATTATCTCAACATTCCTTCTCTGCTGGACACCCATCTCTGTTTTAAACACCACCATCTTATGTTTGGGCCCAAGTGACCTTTTGGTAAAGTTGCGATTATGTTTTCTAGTAATGGCATATGGAACAACTATATTTCACCCTCTACTTTATGCATTCACAAGGCAAAAGTTTCAGAAAGTTCTGAAAAGTAAGATGAAAAAGCGAGTTGTTTCAATAGTGGAAGCAGACCCTATGCCAAATAACGCTGTAATACACAACTCATGGATAGAGCCTAAAAGGAACAAAAAGATTACCTTTGAAGACAACGAAGTAAGGCAGAAATGTTTAGTACCTCAGGTTGTCACTGACTAGATTTCAGTATTCACCAAAACACATCAAGCGGAATATTTGAACAAATTGTAGAAAAATACTGCCAAATAAGAAAAACTTTTTTAAACTATTGGCGAGACTGTAAATTTTCAATATATATGTTAAATAGACTAGGTCTTGTATCTTCAATTTCTTCATTATGTAAGATATATGTTGCATGGCCGTTTGTTAGTGTAACACCATATGTATATTTGTCAAAAATATTCAAGTCCTCTTTTTTAGAAAATAAATAGCCTTAAAGAAGTGCAAACTTTTAAAGATATTTGTATGGCTCAGTTTCTCTGTAAATATAAAAGAATTTTTAAACAAAAAATCCACTCAAGAATACTTTTCTAAAGCACAAATTCAACATTCTGCATTATATGGTATTTTTAAATTTAAGTCATGAACAGTATTGATCAGATATATTCTGAATGCTATACAGCTACAACCTGGACACATTTTGATCTTAAATAGCTATTTATTTCAAATCTCTCCAGCATGCAATTACCATGCATGTGTAGACAAAGCCATTTACATGACGCCATTCGATTAATGGTTCAGAATCTGTTAACTTTGATAGGGAAAAAAAAAAAATCATGTTGATCCAAAAATTGACAGTACTTTCTATAAAAGTAAAAAGTCTTGCATATACAATCCTAGATTCACAGCTCCTATCCAGAAAACACACAACTTTGAATAATTACACAGGAGGAGTGGAGGGAGTAAGGGGAAAAGACAACCTAAATGAAAGCAAAAACCAGAGACAACAAAGTTATTTGGCTTGATGCTAAAAGACAACCAACCAACCAAGGCAGTCCTGTTCAAAGGCTTAAGATTTTCACATGGAAGGGGTTTAGAGCTAGATCTCAAGTGTGCAAAGACTTTTCATTCATCGCACCTACCTACATAGATAGATATGGCTGTACCATGCCACAGCTAAAGTAGAAGATAATTTTCTTGCCCTCAATAACTTCTGTATTATTAATTTGATTTGACTTCTCCTTTGATGATATTTAGTTCTAGCCATGCAACTGCTTTGTCACTAACCAATCACCAATACTGCCAGCTACCCTATTTCTGTATTTCCTGGCGGCCATGGTATACCATCATTCTACATCCTCTTTTTTCTATTTCATCTTATAACTATAATGAAGAATCAAGAAGCCTTAAGAAGTCATCGTCATCCATAGCACTGTAAGCAAGAATTAAGATATTCACCCAAACAAAAGTTTGTTCAGTGGTTTGCACTATACTACACTTAAAGAAAATAATCATAATTTTAGTGAACTGCGGCTGCATTCATTGACTTAGTTACCAACTGTGGGGGGAAGAGGGAAACAAAAAACTGCAAAAATCTATTAGCATGATTTCACTTGTCTTGCTATAAACTGCTCAGTGCGGCACCAGCTAACAGTACAATTAAAAAGCTAATTCTCAATAAGTATTGACTTCTATGAAAAAAAAAACAAAACAAAAAAACTCAAACAAACGGGCATATCCCTGAACACGACAGCTAGTCTGACTAAAGTATTACATTAAAAATAAGGATTTCTGAAGCTGCTGTTTTAAGGGAACAAAAAGCTATTTTCCATTACATCATTAAATTATTAATCATATAAATACTGCCAAAACTGTTTTTGTGGTTTAAAAAAAAAAAAAAAAGCAGTACTTGTAATGTACCTTAGTTTACTTAGGCTATGCCTTAGCTTACCAGAACAGAAGATTCAGAAAAATAATACTACAGCTCCACATTCCACAAAGACCAGCCACTTAAAATCATCCAAGTTCTACCTTGGAAGTTTTATTATCTAATTGATAAGAACTTGTTACGTAAAATTACTGTGTAACATATATTCAAACATAATTTCACTGGCTTTTTTCTGAAAGCAAGCCCAACAACACCTGCATTCAACTGTACTCACAGTTTTGATTTCATCCGAGCTATCCCTAGTTTCCTACAAGAACTGAAATCCTTCATTTTATTTGAGAGGTTGCAAGGGGGAAGTAAACTTAATGGGTTTATGTAAGAAGCTTTTTTTTTTTTTAAATCCCATATGCTCCAAATTTATCACTTCAAAAACATTATTTCAGGAATAAGCTCTTCAGAAAAGAAATGTGCCCAAAAAAATTAAGCAAGTACTATTACTTTCTCTTTTTTTGTAATCCTCCTTTCTTTCTCTGCCTCACTATCCTCTGTATTCTGAACAGGAGGAGAAAGTGGGACCTCTAGGGTTAATGTCATAATATGATTTAACTGATCTGCCTTATAAAGCATTCTTAAATCAATTCAAAATACTATTCATTTATTTAAAAAGAAATCATAATGACCACAACACATGAATAAGTTTACATCATGTCCTTACCTGAAATAAGCATTTAAGAAAAGCTTTGACTTGAAATGTTTCTTGACAACATGACTTTACCTTTTTAAAATTAAATAAATCCTCAAGAACTACATGTTTAGTGTTAAAAGCTCATTCATTAGAAAGTCAGATTCAATGAAGCAGTACTTCATAACAAAGAAAAAATGCAGTCTAGGAATTAGTCAGAGACATTAAGTTCGGTATTAAAGGCTATGCCGATCACAGTCATTGATTGCCTTTAAGAATATAAGCAAGTTCATTTTTACATTTACCATTCTTCATCTTTCATTAAATAAAGAAAAAAAGGACTTATTTTGGTGCACACTTTGAAGCTTGCAGAAGAAAATTCTGCATGGAGCAGGGAGTAATACAAGTAAGAATATGTGCAATCCTACATAAATGCAGGAGTCATTATAAAACAGAATCACACATGATCTGTACCACAAAGACGACAGATTTAACACAAACAAGACAAAATAAAGAGTAACTGGTGAAGGAACACTGTATATCCTACATATACAGAAGAGAATTTTAGGAGGGATATGAAGGTGTGCTGTGGGTGCTTGACAGACAGACTAAAACAGAACACAAAAATAGGCACCATCACTGGAGAAAAAAAAGGGCAAATATATGCCATAGTATTGCCCAATAAGAAGCCCACTGCATTCTTAAAAATGATCTCACTACAGTGAGTCATTAGTTCAATTACATTTCACACCACTCAGCCTAAGGCAAGCAGAATTGTACAGGACTCTAAAAATATTAATTCCAGCAAATATGCCTCAGAAACACAAGCAACCACCACTGGCTTCCACACGTTCTCTGTCCCTAAAGTATCAGCTGGTATCTGACTATGTTGTCTTTTAACTTCAAATGCATTTCCATTCAATTTTACATTGTAAAATCAGGCTAGTTCACACTAAAAATATAAAAAAGCTGAGTACCGTGCCAGTATCTATTAGAATATGCAAGAAGCACACCTTAACACACTAGTACATTACAAACCAGTGAAACAGAAATGTAAATACATCACTAATATCTAGTTTCAAGTTGGCAACAATTTTTATGGACTACAAGGCACTGCTACATGGTCAGAAGTTCTGTTTACTTCATTAGTGCCAGGGGAACAGGAATCACATCAGTGATTTCTAAATATATCAGATTAAAAATGTATGCATCCAGATATATATTAGATCAGTACACCTCTCTTCCTTCGTTGTTACATAAATACACATATGTAAGTAATATACAATTATTATATATCCATATGCACTGAAAGTAAAATTCAACATTTGGTTTTGGTAAGAGTATCTCTGAATTTGACAGTCAGGTACTGTGCCCCACCATGCACATCCTCAAACACTGAAACACCTCTTCCCCACCACCATCTTTTTTTTTTTCCTCCTTTTTAAACAAAATAATAGATTCAGCAAGCTATATAATTTACCTGGCCAAGAGGAAGAATTTTTGTGCTCTGTTAACTGTTAGGTGTATCATATTGCAATGCACACAATAGTTCTTTTTCTACATCAACATATGTGCTAGTCAGAATTCTTTGATAGCTTAGACATACGTTTGTTTCCTCTGAAAAAAAGTGGTTTAGTTACCAATTGCCATTAAACTCTTTTAAAAGGAGACAATACAGCATTCTTCAGCAAAGTTTCAATGTAGCATTAAAAACTACAGAATACAATAACTTACCCTTCTCCTTGCATTGTTCAAACAAAATACCTCCAACATATACCTAAGGACAATCAGCTTCCAGCTTAAAACCTTCCAGCTTCATAACAGCCAAATTCCACTCCAATTTCACACGTTCTGCTGTAATATCACTGAATTTATTTGTCTTACACCAACAGGAGAGAAGAATCTGACTCTGTAATTACCTTCTCCTTTTTCTACTTCATAGAACACTTGTACAGTTCAAAAAGCAAAATTAAACACAGGGTTTGGGTTTTGTTTTGCTTGAGAGGGTTCTGAAAAAAAAAGGGAAATGAGGGAAAGAGAGAGGAAAGAGAGAGGAAAAGAACCAGAAATGATAACCGATTAATAGGAAAATCAAAATTGACTCATACCAATAAGTGTTAACGATAAAGGATGTTAAATAGGTGAAGAGCATAGTTTAAGAGGGCAGAAGGTAGAAGGAAGGGCTGTAAGGCAGCTGTGGCCATCAGGACCACAGAAAGGTGGAGGGCAACATGCACCTTCCATGGAAAGAATGCTAACCTTATTTTTTAGACCATAATAAACACAAATACAAGAAGAACTTATTTTTGAATCATCAACTGTGATATATGGTTTTGCCAAAATTTCTGGCAGGAGAGGGGAGAGCAACACGAACAGCAACTCCAGAAAAGGCTTTTGATTTAACAAATTATACACAGAATAACAGACAAACCAAGAGTGTGCATTATTCTACTATCTTTTTTCCTAGAGATAAACTATACATTTTATCAAGTACAGAGTACATACAGAGTACATACAGAGTACATCCAAGAACTGACCTGAAAATAAAGTGTTATTAGAGATATGTTCGTGGTGATAAATTTTTAAAAATGCTATTGAATTGTCTCTCAAATTGGTATGGTCAGATAACTTCAGTTTGTCTTGATGCTCCAAGTGTTTCACTACCACAGTATGTTGTTGATTACTGCTTCTTTATCTCAATTTAATTATTTTTATAGAATACTAAATTGAAGAAGAAATATGCTTAGATATCTTCATGTTATTTGCTAAAATTACACTTCAGTGATTATTATAAATTCTGCCAGACTGGAAGAAATATATTCCTGTATATTTATTTTATAGATTTCTGTATCAGCTGTTTTCCCGTTTTACAAAGAAATTCTCACACAATGAAAAGAAATTCAGTTAAAATGAAGAAAAAAAAAAAACCAACCAGAAGTTTTACAC